GTAGCACCGGGAATGGTATCCCGTATCCCAAATGGGTAGCCCCGTATCCCAGCCAGGTGTACTCCCATCCTGGCATGGTCAGGGGATGCTGTCCGCCTGCCGGAGCAGCCCGTGGAGATGCCCATGGTGTCCCCAGCTCGCCCACGCCCTGGATGTGCAGAGCTGTGGTTGAGCTCCCCAGGGTTGCCTGGATTTGGAAAAGGGCCTCCCCGAGGAGCACCCCCCGAGAAGCGCTGGGTGCGAGCAGTAGGGGAGTGCCGTGGTTTAACCCCAGCCAGCAGCTCAGCCCCACGCAGCCGCTCGCTCGCTCCCCCCGGCGGGATGGGGGAGAGAATCGGGAGACCTGGAGCCCCTTTAGGGACTGGAAGGCCGCAATAAGTAGAGCAAAAGCCGCGCATGCAAGCAAAACAAAACAAGGGCTTCGTTCCCTGCTCCCCGTGGGCGGGCGGGTGCTCAGCCATCCCCAGGACAGCCGGGCTCCATCACACGTAACGGTGACTGTGGAGGACAAATGCCGTCACTCCCAACGTCCCCCCTTCTTCTTCCCCAGCTTTATATGCGGAGTGTGACGTTACAGGGTATGGAACACCCCTGTGGTCAGTTGGGGTCAGCTCTCCCGGCTGTGTCCTCCCAACTCCTTGTGCCCCTCAGCCCTCGCTGGTGGGGGGGTGAGGAGCAGCAAAGGCCTTGACGCTGTGTCGGCGCTGCTCGGCAGTAACTAAAACATCACTGCCTTATCAATGCTGTTTCCAGCCCAAATCCAAAACATCGCCCCACACTAGCTACTGTGAAGAAAATTAACTCTCCCCCAGCCAAAACCAGCACAGGGAGCAATCAAGAGGAGCAGGAGGTCCCCCATGGTCCCCCGGGGACAGAGTGCTCTCTGTCCTGCTCTGCTGTCACTCCTCTGCAAACAAAAGGGATTTTGTTTTGTCCCTGGAGCTGTAAAGCCTGCACCTTGCCATTGCGCGTTACGTTTTGGCCACAGCCTTCCCACGGTTGCTTTGGGTTGGTCTCCTGCACACCCCGTGGGACTGCGGTCCCTGCCCGTGCTCCTCTCCCTGCCAAGGAGAGGGTTGGAGAGCGGGACGGGAGCCCTCAGGCTGCCTTGTGTCCTGCCAGACTCGTGGTCGGAGGTGAAGGTGGACTGCGAGCCCAGCTGGCAGCCCTTCCAGTCCAACTGCTACCGCCTGGTGGGAGAGAAGAAGAGCTGGCAGGAGGCGAAGAAGACCTGCCTGCGGAGCGGGGGAGACCTGGTCAGCATCCACACGCTCTCCGAGCTGGAGTTCGTCACCAAGCAGATCAAGCAGGGTGAGGGGGAGCCCGCTGTGCCCGCAGCACCCTTCCCGTCTGATTTTGGGGTCTGCGGAAAGGTCGCTTCTGTGTGATGGGGGCTGCAAAGTTGAATTGGTTCATGGCTGTGGAGGGAGCGGAGGAGACCCCGGGCTGGGAGGGGATGCGGTGCTTGGAGGAGCCCGTGCTCCAGGCGCATCCTCCGTCCAGCAGATGTAAAAGCCGTTCCTGGGAGGCTGCGCTGCTGGGCGAGAAAATACACAGCTGCAGCTGGGAATGGCACTAGTCCCAGTTGGTTAATGTAGAAAAAGACAAAGAAAAGTGCTGCTGGCCTTGCTGGAGGAGGCTGCACCTCCTACGGCTAAACCTGCCCAGGACACGAGTGTCCCCGCAGCAGGTCAAGTGAAGGGGCAGTGCCTGCCTACACCATCCCAGGTTTCTCTTTCAAGTTCGGGCTTCACCCGGGTGTAGTTGGGTTGAAATTTCCCACATTGGGATGTCTCCAAGCTGGGACGGTACTTGGGAAGTTTCAGCCCGAGCAATCATGCGTGGTGGTACAGGGGAGCAACTATACCACCACCCTCTGGATCCCGCTTGTGCCACTGCTCGTTAGGGTCACCCTTGATTCGGGTTTGACTGTTCCCATACAAATGCGGCCCCTCCGGCCACAATACACACTCCGGCGATCGCACAGCCCGTCCCTGCTCTGCAGGGGAAGAGCCTGGCAGCAAAACCCCCCATGGGGACATCAGGGGACCCAGACTTCAGCGGGGACCGGGCAGGGGCCGGGGGCTGAGGGAGAGAATGCTG